GAAAGAAAGAAAGAAAGAAAGATTCATTCAATGACTTGGGATGGGGCTGGACACGGAGGAGGGTCGGCAGATGTGGCCGGGGCTGCACGTCAGGACACCTGGGCTCTGGTCTCACTAGAGCTGGGCCTGGGAATGTCTCAGGTTCGACAGCCTGTCAGTGGGTTGCAGGCCGGGCTCCTGGTAGGCTGCAGGGGATCCTGGGCTCCCAGGCCTGCAGATCCGGGACAGCCCTGCCAGGCCAGGCCTTCCCGCTGCCTGCCGGGGAGCCGGCCAGCCCTGGAGCCCGGGAACCCTGGGAGCAGAGCCTGGCACCTGGCAGGGCCCCCCATGATTCTTGTCAGTTTCACTGTCTGTATTCACAAGGGGGGCCCTGATCCATGTCTGTGCAGCACCCGGCACAACGGGGGGCTTGATCTCGGCCGGGATCTGGGCTGCACAGAGCATGATGGGGCCGGCTCTTCTGGGAAACACCCCATCAAACAACACACTGAGGCTCTGTGCTGCAGCTCCCTGCACACCAGCACACACTGTGCTGCAGGGCAATGGGGAAACTGAGGCACGACCTCGCCCATCGGAGAATAACCAGCTGCAGAGCTAGAGCAGAAGGAGACACCGAGCCCCCACAAGCTGCCTTTGGGGAGCAGGGAAAAGCCCTGGGGAGGGGGACCCAGGCGGGTGTGAGGGGCGCAATACGGAATCTGCCTGTGTGGAACTGAACCTGCTGGAAACAGACTCCGATCCTGTTAATCTCCGAGGAACCCAGGCATCCGAGGTGCAGAGAGCTGATGGAGGGAGACAGGGAACGACACAGAGGCTCAAGGAGGAGAGCAGAGGGTGACGCAGAGAGAAAGAACAGACACAGAGGGGATGAGACAGGAAAGAGGAGGCGTGTGGAGGTCGTGTGGGATTTATTTATTGTTTCGCAGACAGTCTGGTCAAGCCAAACCACAGCGTCTTATCAGCCACGCTCAAGGCGCGAGGATCTGCAGGAAACGGAGTCATTTTACAGCCCTCAGACGCGTGTCCTGGTTTTAGGGACAGAAACAGAACGGAAGGAAGAGGGAGACAAGACTGAATGGGCCGGGGTGTGGGGAGGGGGGAAGGCATGTGAGTGGGAGCAAGAGATGGAGAGAGAGAATGAACGTGGGCGACAGAGGAGAAAGAGAAAAATTGAAGAGTGAGGCAAAGAGCAGAGAATGAACGAGGCAGGGGCTGAAGGAGGGGGGCAGAGGGAAATGGGGACTGAGGCAGGAGCTGAAGCCGGGTTGGGGGGTCACTCACCCAGCACAGGGAGAAGGCCAGTTAGCTCCTTACTGGGTTGAACTGGACGAGGCTGGGAGCTGCATCCCCCGCGCCTGGCCCTGCCTCTCTGCTGACAGCAGCCAGGGCCCTGGGGCCACTCTCGGTGCAGCAGGAGGAAGTGCTGTCCGAGGGACGCAGCCACCGCCCCGCCCCAGCACCGAGGCGTCAAGCGCTGATGGCTCGGAGCCAGGCCGACCACGGCTGGGAATTGGGGTTCCCAGCATGCCTTGCAGTTACCAGCCGCTCTGCACTGCCCTGGCTGACAGCTCCAGTGTGAGCAGCGAGGGCTTTGGGGGGAATCGGATCCTGTTACATCCTGTATCCCGGAAATGCAGCCAGCTCTGGGGTGGGGCGGCTGGGGAACAGCCGCAGAGCAACACTGCCCTGAGCCCCCTCATTCCGAAGTAAAAGGCAGCGCCCCCTAGTGCCATGCACAGGCACAGAGGGCAGCACTGACTCCTAGGGGACAGCGCCCCCTAGTGAGCCCCCTGCCCCACTCCCTGCAGCACGGCGCCCCCTGCTGAGCCCCTCCAGCCCTTCCCCCGAACCTGGGTAGGGTCTCAGTCCAGCCCCACTCCCCACAGAGCATTTCCAGGAGCTGCTATGTGGGGCCCAGGGGCCGGGCCATGGCCAGTGCAGTCCCCATCCTGGGCACAAGCCGAGGCTGGGCGGAGGGGCCGTGGCTGTTACTGGAGCAGAGACCCGGCCGCGGCCGAGCTGAGAGCCGACCTCAAGCCACAGAGTTCAGCTGAGCCGGCTGCAGCCTCTGGGTGCCTGGTGCTGAACTTTCCCCTCTAGGGGGCGCGGGCTCCACCCCTCAATAACAAGCCCCCCCCCAATCTCACATCACACCCCATGTATCTCTGAACCCCGCCAATATCAGGTCCCACCCTGGAGCTGGGGCATCGGGGTCAGCCCTGACTGGGAGGGGGCAGCGTAACAGCCTCTCACCCCTGCCCCCAACACAGAGAGCCGCCTGCCCCCTTGAGCCAGGCAGTACCTGCCCTGGGGCCGGATCAGAGCCAGCGCCCCCTAGAGGGGACAGCACAGGGGTGACTAGCAGCAGGTCTCCTCTGCAGCACCAGGCACCCAGAGCCTGCAGCCGGCTCAGCTGAACTCTGTGGCTTGAGGTCGGCTCTCAGCTCGGCCGCATCTGGGTCTCTGCTCCAGTAACAGCCACGGCCCCTCGGTCCCTCGGTCCGGCCTCAGCGTGTCTCCAGGACGGGGACTGCACCGGCCACAGCCCAGCCCCCAGGCCCCAAAAGCAGCTCCTGGAAACGCTGCAGGAACTGGGGAGCGGGGCTGGACTGAGACCCTGCCCGGCACTTCGGAGGAGGGGCTGGGGGGCTCAGCAGGGGGCACTGTCCCCTTGCAGTCAGTGCTCACCTCAGTGCCGCAGCGTGGCACCAGGAGGCGCTGTCTGTTACCCCAGAATGAGGGGGCTCTAGGCAGTGTCGCTCTGCGGCTGTTCCCCAGCCGCCCCACCCCAGAGCTGGCTGCATCTCAGCCCCAGGCGGGACGTCCTGTGCGGCGTTATGTGTGGCTGGAGCTGTCAGCCAGGGCGGTGCACAGCGGCTGGTAGCTGCAAGGCATGCTGGGAGCCCCGAGGCTGGGCCGTGGTCGGCCTGGCTCTGAGCCTGCAGCTCTTGACGCCTCGGCGCTGGGGCGGGGCGGTGGCTGCGTCCCTCGGACAGCACTTCCTCTCGCTGCACTGGGGGGCCCTGGGGCCCTGGCTGCTGTCAGCAGAGAGGCAGGGCCAGTCGCGGGGGATGCAGCTCCCAGCCTCGTCCAGTTCAAGCCAGTATGGAGCTAACTGGCCTTCTCCCTGTGCTGGGTGAGTGACTCCCCCCAACCCGGCTTCAGCCCCTGCCTTGGTCCTCTCTTCCCCTCTGCCCTCCTCCTTGTGCCCCTGCCCCGTTCCCCCTTCCCCTCTGCCCCCTCCTTCAGCCCCTGCCTCGTTCATTTTCTACTCTGTCTCACTAGTCAATTTGTTTCTGTCTTTTTCCTCTGTCGCCCATGTTCATTCTCTCTCCATCTCTTGCTCCCATTCACACTCCTCCCCCCACCCCGGCCCGTTCACACTTGTCTCCCTCTTCCTTCCGCTCTGTTTCCATCCCCCAAACCAGGACACACGTCCTGCAAAATGACTCCGTTTTCTGCAGGTCTTCATGCCTTGAACGAGGCTGATTAGACGCTGTGGTATGGCTTCACCGGACTGTGTCCGCGAAACAATAAATAAATCCCATGCAACCTCCACGCCTCCTCTTTCCTATCTCATTCGCACTGCGTCTGTTCTTTCTCTGCTCGTCACCCTCTGCCCCCCTCCTTCAGCCCCTGTTTCGTTCCCTCTCTCCCTCCATGAGCTCAACACACCTCTGCTGCCTGGATTCCTTGGAGATTAACAGGACCGGAGCCTGTTTCCAGCAGGTTCAGTTCCACACAGGCAGACTCTGGATGGTGCCCCTCACAACGGCCTGCGTCCCCCTCCAAGGGGCTTTTCCCTGCTCCCCAAAGGCAGCGGCCCCTTTCTAGAGATCGCTGGGGCTGGCATCCCCTTCCAGCTCCAGACCTTCATCTGGTTATTCTCTGCTGGGTGGGGCCCTGCCTCAGTTTCCCCATTGCCCTGCAGCACGGCATCTGCTGCTGTGCAGGGAGCTGCAGAACGGAGCCTAAGTGTGTTGTTTGATGGGGAATTTCCTAGAGCAACAGGCCCCATCAGGCCAGGCACTGCCCAGACTCTGGCTGGTATCAGGGCCCCCCTTGTAAATACAGAGAGTGGAACTGACAAGAATTGTGATAGTTTCACCCAGCAGCTGCCAGGGTCTGGGGGCCCTGCCCTGTGCCGGGCTCTGCCCCCAGGGTTCCCGGGCTCCAGGGCTGGCCGGCTCCCCGGCAGGCAGCGGGAAGGCCTGGCCTGGCAGGGCTGCCCCAGATCTGCAGGCCTGGGAGCCCAGGATCCCCTGCAGCCTGCCAGGAACCCGGCCTGCGACCCACTGACAGGCTGTCGAACCTGAGACGTTCCCAGGCCCAGCTCTAGTGGGACCAGAGCCCAGGTGTCCTGACGTGCAGCCCCGGCCCCATTCACTGACCATCGACCGCATCCAGCCCCGGCTCATTCACCGACCCTCCTCCGTGTCCAGCTGTGTCTAGAGGCTTCCCTGTGGCATGGACCCTCAACAGCCCCTGGGTCTGCAGTGCATGCGTCAGGGAAGCAGGGCTTTGGGGTCTCATTTTGGGGAAGGGGCTGGAAGGAGCAGCCTCTTGGTCCCATTCTGCCCCCATGTTATCTGTGCGAGAGGGACACCTCATCTGTCAGTGACACAGAGACGGGTGGACTCTTCCCAGAGGGGATCCATCGTTCAGAGCAGTATAACCAATACCCCAGGTGTACCTCCCGCTGGTCCCCAGCTGAGCGCCGAGCTGCAGCCGGGCGCCCTCCTTGGCAGCTGGGGGAAGCTCGTTTGGGTTCTGCTCCTCGCTTTGCTTGAAGAATCTGTATCGTCTCTTCCCATCTGCCTGGGGGGCCGTGCACCGGAGGGCAACGTGCTCCCCTCGGAGATACATAGGCTGTGGGGGATCCAGGACTAAAGTGGGGGGCAGTGGGGGAGCTGGAATAGATGGAGGGGGTGGAAGAGACCAAAGGGAGGAAACGACAGAACGTAGAATGAGAAATACTCCCTCAGTTAACAAGTGATCCCACGGGACGCGTCTTCACGGCACGCTAAGTCGGCGTCTGTGGGACCTGGGCTGGTGGACCCTGGTTCCAAGCCCACGTGTGAGCATCCACCCTGCACCGTGAACCTGGGTTTCCAAGGGCTGGGCCCGGATCTCTCTGCCATGCCAACACGTCCGTATTGCACCATGCAGACCTTGGGCCATATCCGCACTGCAAAGCGACGGGGCTGGGACCCGAATCGCTGTGAGACTTGGCCTCTGACCCACACCCCCAGTGGGGCCCTAGGACCTGGGTCAGGCTTATTTGTGTGTGGACGGAACGGGAATCAGAGCCCAGCCTCAGTGTACAGTAGACACGCACTGAAAAGGCCCTGCCACCCCCCTCAGCGGATCCCTATGCCCCCCAACAGCCCCCTGTACCCCAACCCACTCTTCAACGGCATCTCTGCTGCCTTGTGGCAAATGGTGTCGTTAACCCCATGAGCAACTCCTACTGGGTGCCCTGTGGCCTAGATCAGAATTGGGGGTGAGGGGGTGGGTGGGAAGGGGTAATACTGGGCGGGGGGGACGACAGGGTTAGCCGCTGCCGGGGTCTTGTGTGGAGAGAGTGGGGAAGGTGATAACTAGGACATAGGGCGGGTGCCCGGTCTACCCTGAGTACCAGGTGTGGCAGCAGCCGATACCCACATCAGAGTGTTCTTCAGGGCCCTCCCCTCTCATTTGGCACTGGTGTGATGGCTACTGGAATACCACGTCCACCGTGGGGTGGCCACCTGTCTGGTTTTTCACCGGAAAGTCCGGTCGAAAAGGGGACCTGACCGTGTCCGGTCAGATCTACTGAATGGACACCCAGAGTCCGGTTACTGCAGGTGGGGAGGTACCGAGTCATCACCCGTGTCAGCCTCTCCTCAGCCAGGGCCACCTTGTACCTACATCAGGTGCCTGCAGCTCCCAGCCCCGGTTCTGCAGCTGAGTCCCTCCCGACTCACACAGGAAGCAGGGGAGAGGGGGAAAGCAGTGAGCAATGGAGTGAGGGGGAAAGTGGAGTGAACGGCTGTGCGGCCTTCCCTCCTGTGCCGTCCCCGGAGCGCTCACTCCCTGTCTCTTCTCTCCTTCAGCTTCTCTCCAGATCCTTCCCCAGCTGGTGTCACCTGCAGGTAAGGAGGGACCCAATCCACACACATGCCCCAGCTGTCCGTCCAGGTGGGTCCCCTCCATGAAAGGGGGTCACCTGATGGGGCAGACTTCAAGTTCCAGTCTGGCCCCATGATGGGGGGCCTGGCTGGTTGGGTCAGAGAATGGGACATGGGGCCTTTCACCTAGAGGGAGGACGCTAGCTCCAATCCTGCCCCAGAGGGGTGGGGAATGGGACCAGACGGGGGACACTGATTCCAGTATTCACTTGTGTGCCTGGCTTCTCACTGTGGGGTCCCAGGCACTGTGTGCAGGGACCTGCCCCCCATCCCAGGCATGGACCTCCCACCCCACCCCACCTCTGAGTGCATCTCACTCTGTTTATGCTCCACTCGGCTCCCAGCTTCGGGACCTGCAGGGGGCCCCGGGAAGACTTCCCAGAGTGACTGGTGATTTGTGGGGGGCTCCGTTTTCTGGGGTCCCCTTATAGGGGCTGGATTCTCTGATAGGGTTCAGCCACCCCACTCCCCTGATTAGAACCAGACTCCTGTAAGCTGCTTGAAATGGAGCACCCCAAAAACAGACTCTAACCGGGCCCCAGGGCCACATGCAGAGTGAAATCTCAGCAGCGCTGGCTGCAAGCTGGGAGGGGGGGTTGAGCTGGGGGGTTTCCATGGGGGGGCGGCGTTCTT